CAGGAATGTCCCAACTGCAGACTTGGGATCAGCAAACAGTCCGGACCATCTTCTCCCCTGTATCCATTCAGAGAGTCACTGGGTCAGGTGCCACTCATCCTGCTGCATTGATGGGTATGAGGGCTGAGTGGGGTCATGGGGCTCACAGAGAAGGCACCCACATGGAAAAGCAGCTGGGGAAGTGACCAAGTCTCAGGCCAGGGTGGAGCCAGGCCAGCCTGGGAGTGTGGGTGAGGGCGTGTGCTAGAGGCTTGAGCATCCCCTCCAGGCAGCCTTGGGGGACCAGGCTGAACAGGTGAGCCCTGCCCGTTCCATGGTGCCCAAGTTTGTATGGGGGCCACCTGGGCCCTTCACTCGGCCACGTCGACAGACAGCATAGCCTTGATTGCAGGGAATTTGTTGCAGGAGAAGTCAGCGACCAGCTGCTTGGTGCCACTCCGTGTGGGCAGGATCTCAAAACGCACCCGGGACCGCTCCTTGGGGCGCAGGGTTGGCACACTGGAGGAGAAAGGGCATAAGTCAGTGTTGATGTGAGATTCATGGACCTTAAGCTGGATGGGCCTCCGTGGCCTCAAGTCCTGCTCTGCTTGGGGCTAGACAAGGTCATCGCTCCTTTGGCCCTTCTCACTGCTGCCCTGGGTCACTGGGCCCCATCAGTCCTGGGGAATTAGGGGTCCCATGATTTCCCAAATATGCTAAGCCCTGAGGACCAGCTCTAAGCTCGGGTGACCTGGACTTCCCGGGAGAATAAGTTTGGTGAACGCCCTAAGCAAATGCAAATGTGTATGCGTATGTGCAGATTCTCTAGAGAAGCTCTGCCTGCCCTGCTCGGGGGCTCCAGATAGGGCCCCTCCGGCCTCTTCCCATTACCCTACATGGGCCCCTCAGGTCTGAGACTCACTCGATCTTGAGGCTGCCCAGCAGCAGGCCACTCCCCTCCACCATCAGCACGCAGTTCTTCACCGGCTCATCCAGCGGATTGGAGAAGAGCATCTGCACATTCACGGGCTTCCGCAACTGGGCTTGGTCCAGCAACTGTAAGGAGAGAGGTTGATGGAGTCAGGCAGGTCACAGGCTGCTTGTCTCACCTGCCACTCGGTGAGAGCTGATGGGGCTGGGCGGGCAACTTGGTGATGGGGAAGATGTCACTGATACAAAGGCAGGGAGGACTGTTTAGTTATCCTAAAGACAAGTGACTTCCGTGCAGGGGGTTTCTAGGAAATTGCTGAGATCTCCATGCTATAGACGGGACACTCTGGTGTAGTGGGGAAGTAGCACTTTGTAGTGGCTGAGAGTACTTTAACTTCCCCGCAAGGTTCACAGGCCCCCTTTCTAGTTCATCCTGGGAAGGGCAACCACTTCTTCCCAGGACAGCCTGGTTCTGCTGTGGTCGCTCTGGGGTTTGGGAAAGGACTCATTCCGTACCTAGTAACAGCATTTTCCTCACACATCCCACTCACTGGTCCTGTTTCTTCCCTTCAAGCCTGGAAGCCCCCTCCCTGGGAGGTCCAAGCCTGCTCAGACCAGCTCCTCTCCACAGGACACGGTGTTGGGCCCCCATCTCAATTCAGGCCATTCTCCTCTGATGACACCTAGTCTAGTGACGTCCTTCTAAACTTCTAGAGCCCAGAGTTTCCCTATGTGCCATGCCATGGTCTGGACAGGGCTCCAACATCACACTGTCCTTGGTCAGGGACCAGAGGAGCCTGGGTTTCCAGTCAGAAAAGCAACCTGGACAATTTGCTGGCTCCCAAAGATGAAAGCTTGTGGTTCTGCCAAGAAGCAGACACAGCTGGGTCTCAACTTCCTCATCTGATAAATGGACTAGTCATTCCTTCTTGCCTCCTTCTCCAAGCTAGGAGGGACTGGATGAGATCATGGGTGGGAAGAAAGGGTTTTGGAAATAGAAACTGAAATTATACGGCTCATAGATTTCTTTTCTTCTTTTGAGGACCGCTACAGGGGGCTGCTTTTGTGTTCGGTTTTTCTTTTTCTTTCCACTAATCCTTCTAGCAACCATTTTACAGTAATAGAGCTGTAGTCCAGAGGGATTGAATAGCCAGGACCTCTCTGGTTCCATAGCCTTGGCTTTTCTCACTAGGCCCTGAAATGCCTACCAATAATTTGTGCATAATTGAAACATTTTAGAGACCATGATCTATACCATAATTTCTCCCATGGAACTCATTTAAATGTATGACATAATTTGAAAGATGAAGCATAATTTCATGCCATTGGGTTACAACAAGGCTACGTAAATGGTGCCATATATTTCACTTCGATATTTAATTTGAGATTTCCATGTATTTGTTTTTCTTTCTTTATTGACTTTTACTACCCTGTCTCATTGACCCAAACCTGTACATACATTCAAAAGAGAGGATAAGGACCAACAGAAACCTGTGTCTGATTGTAAGTGGTTCATGGGTTAATAAAAGACATCAGCATTTGAAACAATGTTCAGATTTCATGGTCTGATCCTACACTGTAAGGTCCTCAGAGCTGACTGCCAATCAGTGCCAGATAAGATAATAGGGTTTTACCCGAATTATTATCTTTTCATATAGATTACCCTCATAAGTTTAAAAACCTGAGCCCTGCTCTGAATGAGCTATGCATTGATTCTTTCATTAAGCCAAGGCTGTCTTTATTCTTTAAAGGTCAAAGTAGAGGAGAGAATGTGTTAGGAGGAAATTCATACAGAGACGCCCAAAAGAAGGAATAGCAGATGCCTTTTAACAAGATAAAATAAGGAAGTTCTTCATGGCACATTTCCAGCCTGTCTTATTTCTTATTTCTTTTTTTTAAAATTCTGATTTCTATAGATTTTATAGACTCTTTAGAGACAAAGCAGACTTGATATGGAAATTCAAAAGATGTAGCACAAAGATGTTGAATAAAAGATAAAGCTATCAGAAGGGTTGAGGTTATTGGATAAGGGACTGTAATGGGGAAAAACCTAACTTTATTTAAACGCTGATCATTTTAATGCAGAATGTTTTCATAACTGAACTGGCTGCCGCCCAGCCCCGTTTCTCAGCCTCAGGAGTGAGAATCATCACTGGGCTGTCCATCATGTTCTACACTGACGGGGCACATTTCTTGGAAATGCCCTGGGAAGCAGGAGAGGCCTTAACATGCAGAGGACAAGAATAGACTGACATGAAAACTCTGTAGGTGGCAAAGAATGAAAGCCTGGAGCCAAGTGTCTGTTCCAGGGGAGAGGGTTGTTTCTGTTTTACAAATGCTGATTATCTTCTAAGACATACGGGGGAGACAGTGATGGGCCCACTGTTTACATCTGGTAGGAGACTGCATCCAAGCAATTGTACAAATAAAGGTATAACCTCGACTAGGGTACATGCCACGAAGTAAGAGGATAGAGGCTCTAAGGGTGTTTAACTGGGGTCTGGGTCTAATTGGCAAGGGTAGGGGTGAGAGGTGGAATATCAGGAAAGGCTCCCCTGAGCAAATGACATCCTGCAAGGGAAGTATTTTATCATTCCCATGAAAGAGTTGGAGCAACTGAGACTCAGAGATTAAAGGACTTACTGAGGGTCACTGCTGCTAAATAGTGAGGCCTGGATACAAAGTCACAGGCCGAAGGGCTGAACTACTACCTTGCTTTGCTTTCGCCTAAACTAGCTGTCCGGTCACTGGCTCCCTAGCCCCAGAGGTGGGGGACCGTCCTGCCCATTCTGGAGCACAGACTAGACGAACTGAGACAGTGACAGGGCTCAATCGCAGGCTAGCTGCATGAAAGCCGGAGCCCTGGGTCCCCCTGACTTCTGTGTGAGCTCAGGAACCCTTGCAGCTAGGGTGTCCCTTAAGGAGGGGTAGGACCAGGGCAGCCACAATTATGCCAACTCCTCTAGAAATCTGGGGCTTAGAAGTCTGGCAGCATTGTGATGGAACAGAAAAAGGCAATCACCCTCTAGAGAGGTGGGGCAGATGGTAGATACTGCAGACGCCTGATCCAAGAGGCTGGGCTCTCTGTGGGACCTCATGGGAAGACCCCATCTCCTCTGCCTGTCCCTGACTGCCAGCCCCTCACCCCTCAGGTTTGTGCTGTCTGGCTTTGGAGGCCTAAACCCTGAGCTGGGGGGCTGGTAGGGCCCAGGGGCTAGAGAGGGAGGGGCAAGCTTGGAGTTAGTGCAAGTATTTCTGGCCCTGGTGCTGAGGGAGGGACAGAGTGGCCCCAGACACTTCCCACAGACCCACAAACCCCTACACATCTGGGTTCCTGGGAGGGAGCCTGGGAGCACAGCCTGAAGCCAGAAGCAGAGATAGAGGCAGCCTCATTCTCAACCACTGTGAAGACGCTGCTGCTAGCTATGGACATGCTTGGATGCCCCAGAAAGGGCCCTGAGCTGTGAGCCCCAGGGCCTGAGGTCAAGCCCTGGCTTGGGTAGTAATTGGCTGTTTCTTTCTCCAGTCTGGGTCTTTGTTTACACCTGAGCAAAACAGGCAGAATATGGGAGCATGAGACTACCTCCTAAAAGTCCACAATTCTGTAACTCTGGTATCTAGAGAGTGGAGAGATGCACGTGAGTTGTGCCCATTTCTGATCTGCTTGACAAACCTGTCTCCGGGCTGGGCTGTGGTCTCCCTGCAGGCACAAGCCACCCCTTGTGCCCCTCTGTGATTCCTGAGCCTGGCTTGGCCCAGAACACAGCAGATGCTCAGAGCTGAGTGGGTGGGCGAGTGAACTGAAGAGTCCCTCCAGCCACTACTCGGCTGGTACCCTCAGTGGGTCTAGAACTGGAACCAAAGAAGACGCAGGGCAATGTGCCTATTTATCTCACCAGAGAGCAAGGACGCAGGTCTGAGTGGGAACTCTTGGCCGATCCATTTGGCAGAGGCTGAACCTGAGCTGGGCCCAGTCCTCTGCTCCTCTCAGCAGAGAAGGACCTTCCTGTGGTCTGGGAGGGCCGTGGCTTACAGGGGCTGGCTGGCTGGGGAGGTGCCCTTTCCCCACCCCTTTACCTCCAGGGTCAGGGTGGGGTTGTCCAGGATGACGACCCTCTCGACCACCACCTCGGCCTCACCAGAGGCCTGGCACACAGCTGTAGTCTGGATCATGTTGTCTGCCTTCAGGTACTTCTCATACTGAGCATACGTGATCTTCACGGGATAATTTATTTCTGGTGAGAGAAGCCAGGGGAGCAGAGTGAGAGGGAGTGGGGTTGGCTTCTGAAACCTTCTTCAGAGCTGATGCCAAGCCAAGTCAGTGTGAGGTGGCTAAAGATATCTGTAGCCCAGGGCCTGACTGAGCCCTCCCTGGGCCAGGTCCTGTGGGAAACATCCCTGTCCTTTGCAGGCTCTAGAGCAGGGACGAGGGCTAGACCAGGACTCTGGCTAGCTAGGCAGACTCCCAGGAGGATGAGCTCACAGGGGCTGAAGCATCCTCCACATCCAGAAAATGTTAGAGGGCAAGTTTCCTTTGAAGGGGCAGAGGAAGAATACGAATGTTAACTGATTGCCTAGAGATGATAACAATAATGACAGCAACACAATAACTAGGAAAAAAAGCCAGAGATTGGCAAAATGCATGCTCAGGATCCTCCCAAGTCATCTAATAGCCTGAGATTCTGTTGCAGCAGCATCTGAACCACCTCCCACCTCTTGTCTCGCCTGCTTCCGAGTCATCGGCACACATCGTGTCATTTCTCTGCCATGCCACTTCAAAGATCTTCCGTGGCTCCTCACTGAATGAAGTTCAGACCCCTCAGTCACTGAGGGTCCTGCATCACTGAGCCCAACTCACTTCTCCCTTAAAAGAACCCTCTGTGCTTCTCCTTTTTCCTTCACAGGACAGGGGCGTTGTCACCTCCCTGCTTTGACTCTCATGGTTCCCTCGGATGGAAATGCCTTCCCCAACTTCTCCCCATTTATCCAGCTCCTCTCCAAGCTTCAAGGCCCCTCTGTGGCTTGGCAGGCCACAGGCACCTCTCCCTCCTCTATGATCCAGGGCACTCCTACCTCTCCCTCATGCTGTCATGCTGGGTGGCCTGGGGGTGCCCTGGCAGCCACAGTGTCATATATCCTTTGAAGTAAGGAGGAAGCTGCCTCTGCTTTTAGCACTGGAGAAATTTGCCCTGCCTGCCCCAAATCTGGAGACGACAGGCCCCTGCCTTAGCTGGCCCAACCTCCTCAGACTGTGAGCACTGAGGCTCCCTTCTGAAAACAGAGGGGGACTTAACAGGGTCACCCAGAAAGTAGGTGACAGCATCAGGCCTCTGGGACCACATCGACTGCATCCTCTCCCCTTCCCATTTCATTCCGCTGCCTCTTGCAGAAGTATTATTATTTTTTTAACCATTTCCCTCACACAAATTATTTTTGGTCTACAAAAATAGCTCTTCCCTTGAGCTCTGAAGGTAAACAACAGTCAGGCTAAAATTCTGCCAGAAGTCACGTTGCTAGGGGAATGCTGCCTCTGACAGGTGGAACATGTCTCAGGTTCTCTGCAGACAGACTTCTTTCAAGATGGGCTATATAATTAATCAGTTTTTATTAGTTCCTTCTGTGAAGCAAATCGCCACCCCACCCTTGTTAATCTGCTTTGTAAGTCCCAACTTTTCATAACAGCTTAAGGGATTCTGCCAATGTGGTCACACCAGCATTCTTCTGATCCTTCCACGGCACTGGCCTTTCTCTGCTCCACCTACTTCCTTCCCATCTGTGCTACCCAGGAGTAAGGAGTCACTGTTCTTCCTAAATTCTCAGACCTCCAAGAAAAAACCCATCACTGTCATCAGGAAACTCTATTCGCCCCCTGGCATCTGTGGGGGAACATTGGTTGAGGGTTCAAGACTCGGTGGTTGATCGCAACCTTTCTAGGGTCAAACCTGAAAGGTGATTCATTGTGGGGTGGGGGCGTACAGGGGTGGCAGCAATACATCCTAGGAAGTGGGGTGGGGGTAGCACTGGATTTAGCATCAGGAAACCTAGGACCAAGACCTTGTCATTGCCACTTATTAGCTATGACATTTAATCTCTTAAGCAAGTCACAATCTCTCCAAGCCTCAGTTTTGGCCTCTGTAAGATGGAGATACTGAAATCTGTCCTTTTTAGAAGGTCAAATGAGGGAAGCACTCTGCAAACTGTGGGAAGTAGTATATACCTGTAAAGGATAATGTGGTACATCTATTAATTGACCAAGCCTCCCTCCTTCCTCGCCTTGGGCATAAAAGGATTTGGGTTGGCAGTACCCTAGCTTGCTCCGTTCACTATGGCAGCAACTTCCAAAACTTCAAAACCCAAGGCTTAACCACAGAGGCCCTGTGCTCTCCTTCCTTGGACGATTGAGCCAGTTCTGATAGGAACTCTCCAACCCCAACAGCGACCTTGGTTGCATGGTGCCTCAAGAAGCTGTAGGATGAGTTACCTTCTTCAGGGTCCAGAGATATTGTGACAGAGTCTTTCCACACTTCTTGTACAAGCGTGCCATTGTAGACGATGGTCCAGGCTGTCATGTTCACCGTCACCGTCTTCATATCACTCGTCAGGTTTTTGAGTATCAGGGCCAGGTTGACTTCTTTGCCCACTGTCGGTGTGCCAATGACCTTAAACTTCCCAGAGATGCTGGGCTCCCGTTCCTCATTTTCTATGTTTTCTCCAGACGTTGGGCTGAATGAGCTGTTGGGTTTAAGTTTTCCCTTCGCCTTTTCAAACACTTTTCTTTCCTGGCTGGAACCTGTGTGGTGAGGGGAAGAGAGAAGCATCTTAGGGATGTAGTGGCAACCTGGACAAAGGACAGTGCTCTTCCTGGAAAGGTGGCCTGGGACTAACACTGGTTCTGCTGCTGCACATTCTGGTCCAAGCAAGTGTCCAACCTTTCTGGGTCTCCGTTTCACCCTTTTTAAGGTGAGGCTCCCAGACCAGTTGGTCTATGGTGCTTTTTCAATCAGCTCTAAATTGCCAAGGAGCTATAGGGAAAGCTTTATCTGCAACTGTATGAAATTTCTATATGGCTCGATATTTTACTTAAGTTAATTAAGTTAGGTTTCTTTAAAAAAAAAATAATAATAAAAGTTCCCTTGTAAGGCCTAAAGAACAAACAGATATTTTAAAAACAAATAAAAACTGAGCTGAAAAGTTTAGAATAAGTTCGCAAGCAAAAAAAAAAGGTTATGATGTAGAATTGACTTCATTAAAAATATTTTTCATACTACTTTACCACGCTATTCTGCTTTGTTTCTAGAGGTGCTTTGAGAGCTGAAGAATGGCACTTTTGTTCGTGTCAGTTGACAAGAACTTCCCATGGTTGGTATGATTCCAAGTTATGATTAGTTTAAATTGTTGAGAGAGATCAGGTTTCAAAAACACAAAGGATGGGTTTTCTGACTCTGACTCAGGTTGTGGGTCATGCTGAACATGATAGTATAAACAGCCCCTGGAGAATGACCATGATGTACCCCTAAAGATCACGGCTCTTGGACACTGAGAGCTGAGTGACAGACTCCAAGTGTCTGAGTCGGTGATGACCACACAGTTCACATTAGGCTCCCTGCCTTGACCTGAAGATTGATCCACCTTCAATGGAAGGTGTTGGCCTTTCAGGAACGTGGACAGAGGCACGCAAAGAATTACCATGTTTATATCTGCAGACCATACTTACGGTCCTTACCTTCTCCAACCAACTTGTGAAAATTTTAAGACACCAGATGATTTATTATCAGCACTTTACAACTTAGCAAGGCCTTTCCCATAAGTTACATGTAACAACTGGCTGAGACCTTAGAGCCCAACTCATCCAAGCCCATCATGTTAGAATTAAGGCCCTAAGAGGGGAAGCGACTGGTCCAAGTAACTAGTCTAGTCTGGGAATTAGAGACAGAGAGGGGGCCAGTTCTCAAGACCTGTTGTCCAAGATTCCTCCCACACACCCCACCGAAAAGGAGGCGGGCAGCCAGATTACCCAAGCTGATAGCTCCTGGTGGGCTGGGTTCCTTTTGGTGCCTTCCCATTCTTTAGCCGAGTTGTAAGTCCACACCCAGGGCCAATGTCTGCACAGGTAGCTGAGCCTTCTGTGCCCAGGACCTCGAAGCGTGTTTACACAATGAGGCTCAGAGCTTAGATACCTATATAGGTCACCTGCTGGGCTTACTCAAGACTAAGTTTCCTGCTACTGTTTCCCTCCTTGCTGTTGCTATTGTGCAAATGCTTAGCAACTCATTTTATAAGCTTTTCCTTCCCAGGGCCCTCACAGACAAACTGGCATCATTAGGTAAGGTGAACTGGGCAACAACAAGCAGGGTGTCACTCAGGGGCTGGGGTGTTGCCAGGAGTCCTGCAGGGATCCACACAACCTGGCCCCTCTTCACTGTTCAGATGGTTTGGCTGGGACAGCCAGAGCTCCCCAAAAGCAGAATCAAAGTGTGATAGTCAGGTAAGGAACCCTACAGAATCACATATTCAAGTAAGCATACACTTCGAAAGTCACTTTGGGAGGTCATTATTCCAATGAGGCTGTAGATGTTCAAGTTGGTAAAAATCACCACTGTTTATTAAGTCCTCACTCTGTGCCAGGCACCACACTCAGTGCTTTGTGGACCCCAGCTCAGTTACATCCTACTGAAGACAGGCATTGCTACTCTCATTTTTCAAGTGAGAAAACAAGAAATCAGAGATCTTAAGATCATGCTTGAGGTCTCACAGTTCTAAGTGGTAGGACTGGGATTCACCTCCTGCCCTGGGCGATTTGTTCCCTGAACCCTACACTTGTTTCAACATCATGACATATTGAAAACACTTGTCTTGCATCTGCCTTCGCCTCTGGGCTGTGAGCTCCACAGGGCAGGGGTCCCATCTGAAGTGTTCTTTGTTGCCTCCCCAGAGCTGAGTACAGACCAGGCATTGGGGGAGGTCTCAGTCCATGTTTATTGACCGAGAGAAGGGCCATCTGACCCCAACAGTGGGAATGGCCTGCAGAGACAGATGGGGCCAAATTGAGGTCACCGATCTCATTGCCTTAAAGTTGTGCCTCTAAATGTCCACAAATACCACTACTCAGAGATGTCACCCGCCTGAACTTGGGGCCAGACCCTGTCTCCTGTACTCAGCTTTCCTCTTTTATAAACTGCAGCCAGTACCAACAGCCAGCAGTTGCACAGTTTTAGGATTTTCTTTAGGATGTACTGTGGGGATCTTTATGAGCACACTTTTCTCGACCCCTCAGAAGCAACTGTGAGGACCCACTGAAGCAACTATTTCAAAGCATTTTAGAAAGAATGAAATGTTGGCCTCCTTAAGGAGTGACTATAGACTACTAGAGCAAGTGTTAATTTACTTTTGGTTATTTTAAAAAATGAACATCACTTTCAAATGTAGAGCTTTTGTCACCATTGAGAATCCTCAAACAGATAAGCTGTTGACTCCAAAAGCAACTTCCAAAATAAAGCAACAAGTGTCATTTGAGTTAAAGGTGACCTTGTAGCAACTAGCCTTCCTGGTGACTTTAGTAGGGGCAGTACTCATGTGGATGCTTACAATTTTAGAGACTCAGACATTCTCCTCACAAGGAGTCCCACCTTATCTAACTTCTTGGGAGGCCTCTGAAGCGAACATAGCACAGACTCACGTCTTTGGAGTCTTTGTCCATTTCTTTGTTCAGAGGGTGTTTCCTGCCTGTGTTTCTTGGAGGGTAGGGGAGTGGGCTGACTTGATAATTTCTCCTAAAGCCCTTGGGTGCCTCCCATGGGAGCCATGTTTCTCTCTGTGCTATTCGATCACAGTGCTGTCGCCCCAGTTGTGCAACTGGTAAAGGGACACTGCTGGAGATGAGCTAGAATGACAGCTGTCTGTGCCCTGTGGCAAACTTCCTCTGGCGCCAGTCTGTCCATGATGGTTCTGTCCCCATAGGAGATAGTCCAGGGAGTTGGGTGTTAGGTGGCGGGGAGCAGTCCTACCATTCAGGCAGAACTGGCTGAGAATGTGGGAGGAGTGTGAGGCATTTTCCCTTCTCCACCCGAAAAGCTGCTTTCCCACCATCAAGCCCTGAGTAGCACAGCCCCACCAGTGCCTCTCCTACCTTCTGGGTACTTATACTTCTCGGTGACATCTATGCGAGAGTAGCTGCCAACCGCCTTGGTGCTGATATACTTGCCAACACCGTAAGTGGCTACGGAATTCTGCTTCTGGGTGTTGCTTTTCTCATCGTAGATCCAGGTGATGCGGTCGGCATTAACCTCCGCAAAGATGAAGGGCATGTCGAAGTCCAGGTTCACATCGCCTTCTCGGATAGCGATAACCGAAGCGGGGCCGCACTGGAACACCCCTTGTGGTCAGGGTGCAGAGGTTAGATGCTTGCCAAAGCCAGGCCCATCTGCAACAGCCTACTCCTGCCCTTTCTCCTCCGGGGGCCACCTACAACCACCCAACTCCTCTGCCTCTATCCTGCCAACTCCTTCAGCCCTGACAGTCTGCACCCCCTCATTTGGCACTCAGCACAGACTCTCCTGGGCTGTTATTATCTTCTGCAATGGCACCCTGGTCACTCTTCACCTCTTCAGAAGACTGGCCCAACCCTGCATTCTGTGGGTGCATAATTTGTGCTAACCCACTGTCCTCAGTCTGTTTCCTAAAGAGAAGAGTCTTGCTGTCTTGCACAGAGTTGCCTCTTTCCTACCTCTGCAAATCGTTCTTCCCAAATCATTGCCTCCCTTTACCTGGAAGACTTCCCTGAACACCCAGCCCACAGGGATTGCTTGCTCCTCTGAGATCCCAAGCCCTGACTGTCACCTCTCTTCTTTAGCGCTCAGTGTAGGTAGCTCTGATAAATAGATAGATAGATAGATAGATAGATAGATAGATAGATAGATAGATAGATAGATACGGAGATACAGAGAGATACAGAGACAAATGATAGATAGATGATAGATAAGTAGATAAGTAGATAGATGGACGGGCAGATAGATGGATGATTGGATGGGTATAGATTAGATTTAGATATAAATATAGATATATAGATATAGTTTCATT